TATATCACAAAGAAAGAAAAATTTCCCCAATTTTTTTTACAAAAAGAGCTACTACAAATTAATAAGAGACTACAACCCAATAGAAAAATTAGCAATTACATGAACAGACAATTCACAGACAAAAAATAAAAATGAATATGATATTAAAAGATGATAAGCTTCATACTAAATTTTAATAATAAAAGAAATGCAAGTTAAAACTACCCTGTCATTTTTCAATTAGCTAATTGGCAAAGATCAAAAGTTTGACCACATTTTGTGGGTTGAATGCATTCCTAATGAGAATATAAAATTGTTAAACCCTTACTGAGAGTGATATGGTCATAACTATCAATTCTAGTAAATCTACTTTGAGAAGGTAACCTTGAGATAGTACTTGCCCATGTATGAAATGGCCAGATGACACTGTTATTCATTATTGCATTACTCATAATAGCAAATATATAAACAACTTAAAGTCCATCAGTGTATGATGTGTTAAATTATGGTAAAGTCAACTCATAGTGAACCTATAGGACAGAGTAGAACCACCCCATAGGGTTTCCAAGGAGCAGCTGGTGGATTCGAACTGCTGACCTTTTAGTTAGCAGCCAAGCTCCTAACTACTGGGTCACCAGGGCTCCAAAAGGCAATTAATTCGGTATTAATAGTGAGCTACGCTGAGGTTAAGAAAATAAATTTGGGTGTTACAGCTAAGAATAATTAGGACTGAGCTGACTTGCTAAATCTTTTATTAAATTTGACTACTTTCTAACTCTAAACTGTCTCTATTTCGCCTACAGCTTTTGTCAAGCACATCATGTCCATCTAAACGGAGCTCTCGAGGTATATACCTGTTCCCTCTTTAATGTATAAGACTTTCTTAATATTGGTTTTTTTTTTTTAACAGCTTACTTTCTATGCTGTAGATATAATTCATATTGGACCTTAATTAAAAGTTATTTATATTAACAGATAACATTAAGTACTTGAGATAAGTTCTTTAGAAATAAAGTATCTTGGTATAAGTGTATAAGCCAAAAAATTTACCAGGTTTTTGCATTCATCCATAAATCCTATCTTTGACTGCAATTATTCAGTGGAGACTCAGCAAGCCAGAAGCTAGTTAATTAATTTAGCTGGAAAATAACGCTAATAAGAGCATAAGCCTAAGTTCTTTGAATAACTAAGGTAGTGTTTAACATTTGCTGCTATACTGTAACAACCCAAAGGTAAACCCAGCCAGGTTCTTACAGCTAGGAAATAACTCATAAGTGCTGGTTCATCTTGTGTTTTTCCTTCTTTTGCACTTCACTTTATTTTCCCCCCAGTTTTCTTTCTCAAAAGATGCAATCAACATCTAACTCATTTTCCCTTTTCCGTTATAGAGCAAGCATTGTTTATGAAGACTGGCTGGAACCTGATTTTATTACACCCATGACTAAGTGTCCAGATCTGTTTGCCATTATTCAGAAAAACAAAACAATCTATTCTGTTCTAGACTGAAGGACTTCCTGAATTTTTTCTATCTTAAGATTCTCTCTGAATTGTATTCACACAACATGAACCAAGTGTCTGCTGCTCTACACAAGAAGGATAAAACATTGATAATCTCAAATCTAAGCACCACTCTTTATCGACCATGGGTCAATGAACATCCTTTTAAAAGTCAATAAATAATTTTGGTCAGTCTGGAATGTTCAAGTCATAGTGTGTTTTTATCTTGCTTAATGAAAATAATTTTTAAAACCTCAATTCTTTTGTTAAATGTACAGATTTACTGAAGAATTTTAAACTTTCAAAAGAAATCATTGCAATCTATACTGCAATAACAAACTGAGTTAAAAAGATAACCCTATATCATTGAAAACACGAGGTGAATCACTGAGGAAATTCAGATGGGGTCAGAAGGTTTCTTCAGTTTTGTATAAACCATTGTGTTTGTAGCTTGAAGTATTTCACTAGTGACAATCCGGCCTATTAGAAGATTCTAGTAAGCCCTTGATTTTTCTCAGCCAATGTCTTCAAGGATAAAATTTAAAGTGACCTTTCAGCTGTCACTTAAAAAAAAAAAAAAAAAAAACCCTCCCTGGGGATTAGATTGCTGCTCAGGAACCCAAGATCTTGTTTTTTAATATTTCCTCTCCTGCTATGATTTCCCTATTTTGCATATCCAGGTCCCAACACCTCGGTTCAGTCTTTTAATACATGTACTGCATGGTAGGACTAACTGACAGAAAAGTTCATAATGTAGCTTACTTTATCATCTTAGAATGCTTTCACATATCACTTTTTCTTTAGAACAGAAGCAGAAGTTGAAATTTAATAGTTGAATATTTAGAAGAGCTGACAAGATCTGTTAGGCATAAAGTCGTCATGAGTTGGAGCCCACTGTATGGCAGCTAACAACAATAACCAAAGAACCAAGACTGTTATGGAGTTTATTCCAACTCGTGGCGACTTCATGTGTTACATAACAGAACTGCTCCATAGGGTTTTCTTGGCTATAATCTTTAGGGAAGCATGTCACCAGGCCTGTCCTTCCATGGAGCTGCTGGCTGGGTTCGAACCTCCAACCTTTAAGTTAGTAGTTGAGTGCAAACTGTTTATGCCACCAAGGGACCTGCAACAAGAACAAACTCCCCAAAAAATGATCTCTGTAATATATGGGATAATAAAATCTCTGAGAAGTGTGTGCCTGCCTGTATGTTTTTAGAAGCTGAAGCAACTTTTTCCTGACATTGGAGCTTTGGGTCCACTTGCTCCTTCTACCTTTAGCAAAGGTCACTCAGATTCCAGTAGACAACATCTTCAACTTTGATCTATGCTTTTGTACCTAAGATGATGCTTGGAACATGACAATCACTCTTTTAAGGAAAATTGCATTATACCCTCATGATTTTTAAGGCCAAGTTTGCCTAAGAACAGAAATTGGGAATTTCACACAGTACTGTTCAATAGAACTTTCTGGGATATTGGAAATCTATACCTGCATTGTCCAATATGGTAGCTATTAGCCACATGTGGCTACTAAGTACATGAAATATGACCAGTGCAACTGAAGAATTGGATTTTTTATTGGATTTAATTTTAATTAATTTAAAATTGAATTTAAATAACCGCATGTGGCTGATAACTACCATATTAGACAATACAGCTCTGGTATGTATTTATATTTGGTTGTTACATTAGCGTCTTGGTTATCTTGTGCTGCTACAACAGAAATACCACAAATGGATGACTTCAACAAAGAGAAATTTATTCTCTCACAGTCTAGGAGGCTAGAAGTCTGAATTCAGGGTGCCAGCTCCAGCTCGGCTCTGGAGGAAGGTCCTTGTCATCAGTCTTCCCTGGTCGAAGAGCTCCTCAGCGCAGGGACCCCAGATCCAAAGGACACGCTATTCTCCTGGCTCTTGTTTCTTGGTGGTATGAGGTACCCCTGTCTCTCTGCTTGCTTCTCTCTTTTACATCTCAAAAGAGATTGACTTAAAACACAACCTAATCTTGTAGACTGAGTCCTGCCTCACTGACATAACGGCCTCTCATTCTGCCTCATTAACATCATAGAGGTAGGATTTACAAAACACAGGAAAAATCACATCAGATGACAAAATGGTGGGCAATCACACAGTACTGGGAATCACGGCCTATCCAAGTTGACATATATTTTGGGGAGACACAATTCAATCCATGACAACCAGGCAATAAAAAATGTTCTTAAACATTACAAATGTCATCATGTAGACAAGTTGAAAAATAGTCTAATCATAAAAGGCTTGTTTTTGTTTTTCAATTAGAGGGACTAAATTACTGGGCTGAGGGCTGTGGGGACCATAATCTTAGGAAGCATCTAGCTTAACTGGCATAACATAGTTTATAAAGAAAATGTTCCACATTCCACTTTGATGAGTGGCATCGGGGGTCTTAAAAGCTTGTGAGCAACCATCTAAGATACTCCACTGGTGTCACCCAGTCGGGAGCAAGGGAGAATGAAGAAAACCAAAGACACAAGGGAAAGATTAGTCCAAAGGACTGATGGACCACAATTACCAAGCCTCCACAAGACTGAGTCCAGCACAACTAGATGATGCCCAACTACCACCACTGACTGCTCTGACAGGGATCACAACAGAGGGTCTCAGACAGAGCTGGAGAAAAACGTGGAACAAAATTTTAACTCACAAAAAAAAAAAAAGAACAAATTTACTGGTTTGACAGATACTGGAAAAACTCTGAGAGTATGTGTGGCCCCTGGCCACCCTTACAGCTCACTAATGAAGTCACTCCTGAGGTTCACTCTTCAGCCAAAGATTAGACAGGCCCATAAAGCAAAATGAGACCAAATGCGCACACCAGTCCAGGGGCAAGGACAAGAAGGCAGGAGGGGACAGGAAAGTTGGTAATGGGGAACCCAAGGTTGAGAAAGGGAGAGTGTTGACATGTCATGGGATTGGCAACCAATGTCACAAAACAATACGTGTATTAATTGTTTAATGGGAAACTAGTTTGCTCTGTAAACTTCATCTAAAGTACAATAAAAAAAATTTTTTTTAATTTTTTTCAGTTAGAAAAGTGTGTATCTACAAGGTACAAAATTTTTAGTCTCAGGTTTTATAGTTAATGCTTTTCCCATAAGACCTTATAAAACTTCTTTAACCACCAGTGGGATAACATCTACTAGACTGCCATGCGATCTAACCTTATTAAATTACCACATGTGAAATGTCCATAACTCAAGTAGTAGCAGGTGCAAAAGAGAGTAGAGGGCGGAAAAGTGACAGTAATTTTTAACTACACCAGCTGGCAAAACCAACAGGTGCCTAATTCCTCAGTCTTTAAAAATAACTTTTGAGAAGACTATGCTGCATAAGCAAATGTTTTCAAATTTGTTTTTGAACTATCTTCAAGTTACTTTTCTGACATAATGTAACATAATATGTTAATTTTTTGTCTCAAAATTACGTTCGGAAATTAAACAGCACATAGGAACCTAATCAATTTTCTCCTTTGGGGTTCGAATAAGCAATTATCATTTAATGGGGAAAATAAATTTTATTTTTAGACTTGATGATAATATTTCTCAGGAAACATTATATCATTGAGAACTCTTAATATATCTTTCTCTAATTCCATTTACATGTCTCATTCCATGGTGGCAAATAGAACATGAAACTTAATAGAATGAAGAAAGAATATTTTCCTTTAATTTCTAAGCCTAGAAAAAGTCATGAATCCATAGATCTATTCAGCAAACAAAGTCCATATATCCCGAAAGAAAAGAGATTAAACAGCAAGTGTCTGGATAATTCAGACTAAAGAATTATGCTCTCTTAAATTTTCAAGATAACCAAAGCTAAGAAAGAGCAAAAAGATGAGATAATACAGGCAGTTATCTCAATTTTACATAAAATTTATAAAATTATCTCAATTTTATAGTATCTTTGCCTTTTCCAGCTTCTAGAGACTGCCTCCATTGCTTGCCTCATATCCCTCTTCCTCCATCTCCAAAGCCAGCAACATGGAATCTCTCTGTGCCTTTCTTCCACAGACACTTCTCCCTCTGACTTGACTTATCTTTTGCCTCCTTCTTTGACTTTTAAGACCTTTGTGATTATGTTGGGCACAGTGGTTAAGCACTCAGTTGCTAACTGAAAGGTCGGAGGTTCAAACACACCAGCCGCTCTGTGGGAGAAAGATGTGGCAATTTGCTTTTGTAAAGATTATAGCCTTGGAAAACCTATGGGATACTTCTACCTTGTCCTATAGGATTACTATGAGTTGGAATCAACTCAATGTCAACGGGTTACTCAGATAGTCCGGGATAATCTCTCTATTTTAAGGTCAGTTTATTAGCAACCTTAATTCCATCTACAACCTTAATTCCCCTTTGCCATGTAACATAGTAATTTCACAGGGATTAGGCCATGAACAACTTTGGGGAGGCCATTATTTTGTCTACCACACTTACATTGCAAATTCAGTCCAATGCTGTCAACACTCAGATCTGTGTCTTTTCCAAGACCCCTCTTCTGAGCACCAGATTCAACCATCCCACCATCTACAAGACATATCCCTGGACATCTGCAAGCATCTCAGTTACCACACATTCAAAATCAAAGTAATTTCCTTCTCCAAAAACATTCTCTTCCTCTTGAATTCTTTATCTACATCTACTTTGTGGTTCAATTCAGAAACTTGGAAATAATATTCAATATCCACCTTGCCCTCTTTCCACATTGATTCAATTATCAAGATCTCATAATTCTGCCCTGTAGTTTTTCCTCTCCATTTTCACTGTTACTTGATTAGACCTCCATCATCTTGCCCTTGGACTATGGAAATATTCCTATAAACTGGTCTTTCGCCTTCAATAGATACAATTTTATCTTTCTAAACATCAAAACTGTTTACACCATACTTCTGTTTAAAATCTTTAATAACTTTCTAATGCCCAGAGGATAAAATCCAAAGGTCATTATGACCCATAGGTCTTGTAGGAGCTTTTTCAGCTTTCTCGCCTTTTATTTATTCTTAATTACACTTCTGCCCAGCCATACAGAATGGTGTGGTGAGCAAGAAGACAGACCTGAGCTAAAGCCACTCTGTCACATCCTGGATGGGTAACCTTGATTATATCATAGCTAAAATAGAATACTTATGAAGTCTTGTGAGGATTACATGAGACAACATAGG